ACAAGAAGAATCTGTCCAGAGGACCTGACGTAACTTTGTTAGGTCCAGATGTGAGGTGTATTTATTTGAGAAGTTTCCTCTCTGTAGCTCCCAACATGAACCACCAGCACAAAGCTGCTCATAAAAACAATCTTAAATCTCCTGTGTATATATAAATATTTCAAAACTACTTATACGACTTGTGTAAAGCTACCATTCTCTTCTCCATCCTGCACTCAGCTCCTGTTAAAAAACTCTTTTTGGCCCAAACTGATTATTATACTAACAGGAAGTTCAGAGGTTGTGACAAGTTGGGACGTTTTCAAACTTTCAGCAACTAACGGTTAAGTGAGTGAATGAATTAATGAATTACAGCTGGCTTTGGAAAACTCATAAGTTTAAATTTTAGTTAATGTGTCTTCTACATTTCATTTTTTTATTGGACTACGGCTCTCAAACTGTAACACAAGTACTATTTGTAGTACTCAAGATCCATCTACAGTGGATCACAAAAGATTTTGATATTATTAGAAGTTAAATTTAAAGCTGATTATCTGTCATAAGCTGATTTGTGATATAAAAATATAAAGTAAAACTATTTAAAAAGATCCTGCACAACTATAGCCTGTAGTTCTATCTTGAAAACAGCTGCTACTCCACCGAATCCAGTCATCTGTTCGCTGATCTAATAAGTATAAACTCTGGGGAAAAGTAAAAAAATAAAAACAAAAAATGAAAGCAGCTTAACTCAACAATATCAGGTTTCTGTCACAAACAAAATATCCAAAGCATGGGCAGTGAAGAAGTCTAAAATAAAAGTTTTGTTTACAATCTAGCAGTAAAAAAAAAACATCCCGGGTGGAGTTCGGTCTTCCAGGACCTGATCCAGAGGTCAGGAGTTCAAGAGGTTTATTCCATCATTCAACCTTTTATTTAGACAAATAAAGCCCATTGAGCCTCAAGGACTCATTTACAAGAGAGACTTGATTTCAACAAAGAATGATGACAACAATGGACAACAGCACAAAGATGTGGTGAAGGCTGGCGAGGGATTAGAAACTGAGCCATCAGTGGGTACCATGCAGGTCTAGAAAAGATCAGAAAAACACTGGTAACAGAGACGAGACAGGACGGGAACAGAGTGAGGACAGCAGTCATCTGTCTATTACCCTCCTCGGTGCTCGCCTCCCATCACCTGAGCAGCGTGCCTCTCAGTCCACCGCCCAATGACAGAGCAACTTTTTTAATGTGGGTTGTCCTCACTGCCCGACTCGAGCTCAAATCTGGACTCGGCTACCCACGACAGGCACAGCAACGTGTCCCTGGCTGCCTCAGTTCTAAAGATCCAGGACCCAGTGTCCTGCTCTGAGGGCTGGACAAGGTGTAGCGTGAGAGGCAGCATCCCAGTGACTCACAATCCCAACTCAAACCTCGAAACTCAAACTATAGTGTGGAGCGATGGTCTTGCCCTGGCTTTTGTCTAAGATCAACGAGTACTTCTAAAGGCCCTTAGCTGTAAGACGAGGCTAATTACCATCCATCATCTTAGAAAATGTTTCATGACATCACTGAACGAGCCCTACGGGACTTACTAGTAACAGAAAATGACAAACAGGAAGAAACCAGTTTGACAAATATGAATATATCTTTGCACTTTTTATTGTGTACTTGGACGTATCATGTTTCATTTGTTTTTACATCTGGCTACTCCTTCAAAGGTCACCACAGCGAACTATGTTGCACGAAGACTTGACAATTGTTTTTTACACCGGATACCCTTCCTGACGCAACCACAGACCACCGAGCTACCACAGCCCTCTGTGTGGAGCAGAGAGCTGCATCTAGGGAACCTAGAGGAGAAGACGGTTGGGGTAGGAGCCTTGCTCAAGGGCCCATGGTGGGGCAAATGAAGGTGAAATCCGGTGTGGGTGCTTCTTTCCAATCACAGGCCCACCTTCTCTAACCTCTGCTCCACCACTCTACTATGTCATGGTACTCCCATTAAAACGTTTGAGTATCACTCTGTCACTGAAAACTCAATGTTGCCACCTGTGCACATGATGAATGTGTGTAAAACTCACATTAGAGCTGTTTGAAGGTTTGTTCCCGACAGATTTGTTGTGTTTTTATTCGCAGCTATGATAAAAATCATTTTTTGGTGTAGTCTATACAATACAAACATTAACCAGCAAAACCATTAGGACAAGTGACTGGTAATTTATTTAAGTGTCTTGTTTCTCCTTATCTTTAAAAACCCATTATGGCCCTGTTCTATCTTTGTAAACATTTTGCATGTAAGTCACACCCCACACATGGCTGCTGTGGCATGCCCCGCCACTCAGCGTGACAGCAGTATGCTCTGTGAATATTAAATGAAAGCTCAAAGGGTACTCAAGTGTTCTGAATCCTCAGATATTACTGTGGACATCTGATGGTATCTGTCCTCACAAAAACTTCAAGGTCAGGGTACAGAAACCCCAGGACATGTTCAGATGTTCATGATCTGACTGACCAAAGCTGAATTTAAAATAGTCATTCATATCGTTACCGTTGGTTTCTGTAAAAGATATGAACAATTAGTATCTGGAGTACATGTTGGAGGTTTCTGAACTACTTTGGTTTAGCAAAATACATTTGACTTCTGACTGAATAGATGAGCTAGTCTGAGTTTGAGCAAAGCCAAAACCAAAGTAGGTTGCTGCCATTTAAAAAAAAAAAGGAACTTTGAGTTTAAAACTTTATTATAAATTTCATGGTAAATACATTAAATTAACCTCTGCTCTGCCGTCAATTTGCAATGCACAATTATTCACATAGATATAACTACCGGTAGTTATTTACAAGTACAAATGGTAGCAGCTAGCTGGGGATGTTCCAGTGCATCTTGGGTATATCCTGCAGGAAGATCATTTCTGCCAGAGTAAGCATGAAATGTGGAAAGATGAAGGTAAAAAGGTTTATTAATTGCATTCACTAGAACGATGAGATTGGAGAGTGGCATTAACTTTGCTTGAACTAGTAGTTTGTCCACTGTAGAGTGGTGCATCGCTGGTTTGACATGAAATATACTTCAGCACTGTCAGTGATTTAATACATTAAAATTACATAAGCGTCAAAACTGATAGACAATACAATTCAGCCGTTAATCCAGGGGTGGACAACTGGATTGGAGCTGTTTGAATATTAATTCCCCACAGATTTGCTGTGTGTTTATATTCCCAGCTGTAATAAAAGTATCGTTAGTGAACATAACTTCAATTTCAGAATGGTATCATTTTGGCCCGCATGTTTAAGAGACTGATGCAGACATAAACATTATGCACAATTTATGTATATATAATTTTTAGGTTCAAAAGTGAATTAATTCTATATTTGTTCTCATTTTTTGGAACAAAGCACCATCATCCTTTACTGCCATAAAGTAGACTTTTGGATAATCATCAAATCAGCTTAAAATTATTTATTTTTTGTCCCACGAGAACTTTCATCTTGAAAGTTTTGGCCCAAATATGAAAACGTTTGGACGCTGCTGATTTTAATTATTTACAGTGCAATTAAATATGAGTTTTTATTCAACACAGTCACTCAATGCAATGCTACAAAGTAAAGGAAGGATTCTGTCAATTTTTGAGTGTAATTTTTATTGCCTAATAAAAATGACCCTAACAGATCCTGTGTATTGAAATATGCTTTTATAAAACCTGATTTATAAAAAAAAAAAATGTTCTAGTTTATATGTAAAACCTGCTAGTAGCAAACATTTAGAACAATTTAAATAACTCAACAGTGCGCAGCTCAAGCATTTTACCAAGTATTCACTGGTTAACTGGTCACCATTAACTTCACACAGACTTTCCCACTGGTACATTTTCATCTTTAAATCACTTCTTGGTCTGCTGCCTTCATACATCTCCTCCTACATGTCTCTGCATGAGTGCAGCTACGGCGTGCGCTCTCAGGACATTATTACCTGCAGTGTCCCCTCAGTGTGGACTGAACTAGACAAAAGGGCCTTCTCCTACTCCGCTCCTGTTTCCTGGAATATCTTACAAAAAGATCTGAAGCTCTCGACCATGACCTCTCTAAGTGACTTTAAACATCTGTTAAGTTCCTGGCAAGAACCAATGCAGACATGTTCCTGTTTTTAGTTTTATACACAGCCTTATAATCTAGCAGGTTTTTTTTTTGGCTACTTTTTCCTTTTGACTGTCCTTTTGGTTGCCATTTTATTTTAATTTGTAAAATATATATATATATATATATTTGTATGCCTCTTTTATGATTGTCTATTGTTGTTGTTGTTGTCATCACTCTTTGTTAAAGAAATCAGGTCTCTCTTGTAAATGAGTCCCAGAGGCTCAATGAGATCAACCTGAATTTTCTACAACATAAAAATTAACTTTTTCTGATTTTCTTCTGAAATATTAGTTGACCCACGTGATCAAAAGAGGATTTCAAGGGTGAAGTACACTTTAGTGTTTGTAGCTGTTTATACCGGTGCTGCAAAAATTGAGACCTAACTCTAATGAGAAAACAATATGGTCTCGCCACAGAAATGGCACCAGAAAACTTTGTATACTAAAAAGTCTAAATATTTTTATACACAAACATCTTTGTCATTTTGCCTATAGAAGGAAACCTGCTTTCAAGCTTTGAACAATTCAATGGGTTAAACTTTGCCAGTCCGGACATAAACTGATGCTTGTAGAATCCAGCACTGCTCTGGCACACAGCTGCTCTACAAAACCCAATCCCGTTTATGTGAACATCCATGGATTACAAACTGATTAATCTTCAGATCTGTAGTCTGATTGATTTTGAGATTTTCTGTTTATCAATTTGAGACTTAAATTCAGGTATTGCCTTAAAATTTCAATCACACCTTTAGACTTTTTTTTTTTATTCTGACCTGGACCACAGTCTGGCAAAATGTAGACAATTCCCTTTTTACTATGTCATTAATAACCTGTGCAACCAAACTTAATAACTCTTTTCATTTGTCTTTTTTCTGTTTCTTGCAGTGGCTTATATGACTTCTACCACTACTTCTACATGCTGACAAATGTCCTGTTTTACGTAAGCTCTGCAATCAACCCAGTCCTCTACAACCTGGTGTCGGCTACATACCGCCAGATCTTCTTTTCCACACTGCGCTACTTCTTCATGCCCTGCCGCCATTCACCCAGGAGGCAACCACACCCCCTGACCCGCCACTCCATCAGTATTTCCAGCAACCACACCCTCTCCACCAATACCATCAAAGAAACAACGTATTAAAACAAGAAATGCCTCGACATTCAACCTATTTGGTGCCATTTTGTGATCAGCGGTCATGCAAAGACAATGATTCATTTAATAGGTTGGAAAATCTTGACTATTGTGATACTGTGATCATCCTTGTCATGTCATATCAAGTGCCCAACCAGAGACTACAAAGACAAATGTGTCTTCATCCAGCCTTGCACGGAAAAATGAGGGAATGCAGAAAATGTCAATAAAAAATAAAAACGAAGAAACTTTTGAATACTGATTGTAGAAATTTCATTCAGTGTTTGTAACTGACCATAGTAGGGTAGTGGCTGAAAGAATGAGATCGTGGATACAGGCAGTTGAAATGAGTTTCCTCCGCAGGGTAGCTGGACTCTCCCTTAGAGATGGGGTGAGAAGTTCAAGTATCCGGGAGAGACTCAGAGTAGAACCGCTGCTCCTCCACATCGAGAGGAGCCAGTTGAGGTGGTTCGGACACCTGGTAAGAATGCTTCCTGGGCATCTCCCTAGGGAGGTGCTTCAGGCATGTTCGACTAGGAGGAGACCCCGGGGAAGACCCAGGACACACTGGAGAGACTTTGTCTCTCGGTTGACCTGGGAATATCTTGGGGTCCTCTCAAAAGAGCTGGAAGAGGCGGCTATGGAAAGAGATGTCTGGGCCTCCCTGCTCAAGCGGATGTCTCCGTGACCCAACTTTGGAATATGTGGAAGATTGTGACCTTGACCTTGAAACAGAGGTGATAAGTGTACACAGCAGATGGATGGATGGATGGATGGATGGATGGATGGATGGATGGATGGATGGTGTGTAACCAGTCATCAAAGGGTCATGATGAAAATTAACCTACTGCTTTGATAAAATCTCAAGTATTAAATTTTAAATGTCAAAGTACTTTCTATATGAAAATGGCCTCTAGCAATATTTCTATTATTAAAGCTTCCTTACAAAAACTTGACTTTGGTGTAAGAAAAAATACACGGGACACGTTTTTATACGCACGTCAAAGGCGGACATATTATGGAATAGTCTCCGTCCATCCATCCGTCAACTTTCTCTTGTCCTGCCCATAACTTCTGATCTGCTCAAGATAATGACCAAAACTTCATACACTTATGCATCATCACTAATCAAAGTGTCACATACAGTTTTCATCACCCCAGCTCCAAGGTCAAGGTCACAAATCAAGGTCAAATTTAGAACAATGTAAGCTCACCAATAACTTCTAATCCACTCGAGATAATTTGATGAAACTTGATACACGTATGCATCGTCACTAGATGGAGTGCGGCATACACGTAATGCTGCTTCAAGGTCAAGATCACAAATCAAGGTCAGAGATAAAACTAGGTCTTCGCTTGTCCAGGTCACTGCCATGGACTGGTTTATAATAGTTTATTAACAAGCGTACAATGTGCCGTATGTCGAACTCTTGTTCTTTTTAGTCCATGCTGACATCTGTGAGGAAAGACTACCTCGCATCATTGCCTCTTAGTTTTCTTGCATGAACTGATTTTGTAACTCCGGTTTTTATTGTTGTTTTTTTTGTGTGTGTGTGTGTGTGAACATAATACCAGAGGTTTGTAATGTACAGCTTACACTCTCTGGTGTAAGTGGAATGTTGTAAATACAGAAAACAGAATGTTTATTTCTGACGATATTTTTCAGTATTCATGAAGCCTTTTCATAAATCAGCAAAGAACTGAACAGAAAGCAACAGACTGTGACTCATTAATGTGTTTGTGCGTAATTATGCCACAAGTTATTTTTGTGTTGGGAATAAAATGATTCCTAAACACATGAGTTTGAAGCACATAAAAGGGACCAATTCAGGATAAAATAATTTCTTGTACTGCTTTCCCACCAGCCGCTGCAGAAACTCAACATGCCTATTAAAGACATGCCAACTTCTTGTGAATCGAATCCTTTCCATTTCTATCCCTGGTCTGTATGTGGTCTTGGGGTCCTTATTTTCTAAAACATTATTTCTGTTAATCACTGACTTTTTGCTCCATGAAAGTAATTTCTTCATGCCTTTTTTTAAATTTGTTCCCAAGCACTTAAGCCCTAGCACTATTATTACATGTATGGCAATAAACCCATCAGTTTCTTCTGGATGCAGCTACTCTACCCTGACTATTCAGAACACTTTGCTATGGTCGAATGGTTTCAGAATTTACAATTTTTCATCTTTTTCTAAGCTCTTTACCTCAAACTTGATTAAAAAAATATATTTTAATCAAAGTGGGGAAAGGTGGTGGAACAATTTTAGAAGGACTTAAAAAAATGTAAGGGAGCTGAAACGCTTAAATGAACCCACTTACATTCAGCTGTGATTTGAATGTTAAAAAAAAAAATACTATTCAGTTTAATTTGTAGTCGAGCCGCACCAGAAGTTGTCTCAAGGCAGCATTCGTAAATTCATTATAAAAGTAATTTAGTAAACGTTATCAATCTAAGGAAGCAGCAGATTGTGTTGAATATTCACTTCATCACAGTCTCCCATCCTGAGCAAGCACAAAGGAGACAGTGGAAAGAAAAAACTCCCTTTAACAGGAAGAATCCTCCATCAGAACCAGGCTCTGGACGAGCAGCCATCTGCTTTGACCAGCTGGGTTTGAGAGGAACAGGAAGTAGAAACAGACACAGAATGACAGGTCCAGGTGAACTTTCTATAGGGAGGAAAGACAAAAAAAAAAGCATGTTAAGATAAAAATGATTCCAAATACAGAGTGTAGGGTTTCTGGGGTCTTGTCATACATGTCGTGTTTTTCCTCATGTTTGCCTGTCACCCTCAGCATTTCTCCTCCTGTGATCCAGCACTGTCGCACCTGTGTCTAATCCTAATCACCGTAGGTGTCTTTCATTTCACCTCGTTAGTGTCTGTGTATATTCAGCCCCTTGGTGTCTTGTCAGTGTCTCTGAATTGTCCTTGTCCCGTCCAAGGCTTCGTGTTTCTTCATCCCTCCGTGTCTCTCCTTTAAAGTAAGTGTGCTGCCCCGACAGCTTTTTGTTTTTGTTTATTCATATTAAACATTTTTACTTATTTTACTGGAGTCTCCTCGTCTTCCTGCACTTTGGGTTCTACACACGGAAGCCGATCATGATATCGAGATTACAAGTTAAGACAGCAGCAGAGCGAGGGAATGTGGTCAATTTGTCCTCCAGCAGACTAAGCCTATAGCAGCAGAACTAAGGGATAACTCTGGAAACCCCAGCCAACTCTATAGGATTTATCAAAAAGGAAAGCTTTAAGCCCAGTCTTAAAACTGGACAATGTGTCCGTCTCACAGACAGAAACTGGAAGTTATTTCCACAAGAGAGGAGCCTGATAACTGAAACATCTTCCTCCCATTCTGCCTTTGGAAACTCTAGGAACCACAAGTAAATCTGCAGCCTGCTTTGTTAGGAAATTATGGTAAATGGACTGTACTTATATAGCGCCTTTCTATCTTATTTCAAGATACTCAAAGCGCTTTACACTACAATCTGTGTCCTCATTTACCCATCCACACATCACTCTACATCTCTACAAAGCTAATTGAACAAATCATTCTAAAGAGACTAATCAGAGCTTTGTCACATTCAAACACCGATGGGACACATATCAGAGGCTATGAGGGGTTCAGTGTCTTGCCCAGGGACACTTCAGCATGTGACTGCTGGTGGATTCGAACCCCCAACTCTCGCATTGGAGGATGACTGCTCTAACCACTCAGCCACAGCCGCCCAACTTATGGAACAATAAGATATTGAATATAAGGGTGCATTCACACCAGCCCTGTTTAGTCTGCTTTAATCATTTCCTAGGAAGTCCGGTTCGTTTGGGGAGGTGTGAACTCGTCATCGAACTCTGTCACGGAACAAAAAGGTGAACTCTGGCCCGGGCTAAAACCTAGGTCTCGGTCTGGTAGAAGAGAACTCCAGCGCGGTTCCATTACGGTGTGAATGTAAACAGACCGGCCCCGCTCCACAAGCAAGAAGTGGAGTACAGCGCGGGGCAAACACGCATTTCTCTGACCTTATATTGAGCCGTCAGCTGCCTTGTGGGAAAAACAACATTCTCCATGGTCTTCTGCCTCATCTTCTGCTCATGCTGAGTCCATTTTTGAAAAAGGACAAAATATAACTCCTAAAACTGCTAAAACTTGATGCCACTCCGTTTTTGTTTTTATTTACAGAAGAAGAAGAAGACGTGTCTTCAGAGGTTTTTGTGTCGTTTCTTTCAGTAGTTCTTGGTGCAGCGCCCCCCACAGGCGAGTGGGGGAACAGGTTGGTTCAACAGGTTGACTCGACTGCACAGTGCAGTGTGAATGCAAACGCACCAGCTCAAATGTAACAAAAGCTCATGAATATTGGTCCCCAACTGAACCGAGTCTACCGGACTATCAGGTATAAGAAGGAGCTAGGTTGTTGTCAAGAGCTTTGTATGTTTGAAGTAATATTTTGAATTCTATCCTGAATTTGACAGGGAGCCAATGGAGAGAAGCTAAAACTGGAGAAATATGGTCTTTCCTATCACTGAAAAAAGACAATAGTTGATCCCACCTTCAATGAATTGTTTCAACTGGTAACAAGTAATTCAATTAAGTTCATCCTATAATTTATTGTCTAACTTGACAAATTTAAGTCTGTTTTATTAATCATTTATTTATTATGTGCAAATAAAATGATTTAAAGTAAATAGTAACCAATCATTCCCAACATCTAAGTAAAAAAAATAAAATAAATACTTGAAATTTCACTTCAATCTGCATTACTACCTCTTTCTGTTGGAACAGTGCAGGACATCTGTCTGACTTTGAAATCCTCTATATGGCAGGTTCTTCATCCGCCACCTCCTGACACCTGTAGGTGGTCCCTTAGCAAAAAGTAGTTTTATTTAAGTGTACTACAAGTATACTTATTTTACACTAAAAATGAGGAAGTGTACTTCAAGTTTACTTTTTATAAACTTTATTTGATATACTTAAAAATAGTATACAAATGTCCCAATTTAGTCCAAACAAGT